CGCCCAGAGCCGACCTGTCTCCCGCTGTCGGCCCCGCGCCCGCGCTCTCCCCACGGCCTCTGACTCAGCCGCCACCCAGCATGGACTTCATAATTAGTTGATGACAAGAAATCCAATAAGTGAGAAATTAAAGTTACAAATCCAACTGGAACTGGTCACATATCCGTGGAAAATTTGTTTCCACAGGAAGGTTTATTGAGTGTCATAATTTTATTGAAATCCTCTATCTTCCCACTGACTTTTATGGTTCTGAGCTGGTTACCGAGCCGCACGCCAGGGCCGGGGAGGGGTTTCCTTCATAAACACGCTGTAATCGCGCTGTTATTGACCATAAATCCCACCCGCGCCTGCCTCTCCGGTTCCAGCGCAGCCTCGCCGTGGCCAGCAGAGAGGAAACTGTAAAATGGGAAGTTGTTGTACGTTTTAGAGAAATTGTTTGGTCGCTGAACTGTGCTGGTTTGATTGGATAACGACTTTTTAATGACTGATTCCACTCGTGGGGCGTTCGCTTCGTTTCCACTCGAGCAAGTGTGGCGACTGACGGCTGCGCAGCCGGCGCCCGGGCTGCCGGGGAAGCGAGGACACTCGCCCCAGAAGCCCAAACAGGATGCGTTTCCCGGTGCCGAGCAGGCCGGCTTGGGAGCAGTCACGTTTGCCCGCCACGTAATTAATGCAACTCAGAGCATGGAAGAGCATTACACACAGGATATGTGTGGGGGGAGGGTGGCAGAGGAGGGTGCCCGGACCACTCGCCCCCCTTCCACCAGGGGCCGGACAGGCTGCCGGGCAGCAGAGGGTCTGCACGAGATGTGGGCCGGCGCCCAGTGCACCCAGCGCTCCTGGCCTCCAGAAAGGGGTCTCGAGCCAGTGCCCGACTCGGGGACGAGGGTGGGCCACTTCCTGGAGTCGGCGGCTGAGTCCAGCCTTGAGCACCCCTGGCCTGGCTGACACAGTCTCGGGACGGGCAGCCCCAGGCCTCGCCCGGGCAGTCTTCCTGCCCACCTCCCTGTCTGCCTGCGGCTCTGAGCTGACAAATGCGACAGGTCAGTACCAGGACCCGGTGAGGCCTGCAGCTCTGAGCACGCCCAGTAGGAGCCCAGACCCGAGGGCGGCAGAAACGGAAGGTCTTGGCGAATCGATGCTTCCTGCGGGCACTGGGGGAGGGGAGCCTGGGCAGCTGGCAGGTGTGGAGGAGCACCCAGCAGAGCGGGTGGGCATCACGAGCAGGTCCAGGCCAGTTTTCTGGGGAAGAAACTGGGCTCACAGGTGCCACGTCCAGGGACGACAGGCACTGGCCGGCCAATGACCAGCTACCATCCCCAGGTGAATGTAACCGGCCGAGCCCTGCAGCCGAGGCCCAGCCTGGGCAGCCCGAGCAGGGACGCAGGGGCAGGCGGTGACCGTCCCCAAACACGCGAGCGCAGCGACACACGAGGGGGCAGGCCATGCCACCAGCTGCCGGGGCCGGGACCGATGGGCCAGGAGTCCTGGCAGGAGAAGGTGGTGACACAGGCTCCCGTGAGGACGCGAGAGGCCCCGTCCTGGACAACAGCAGAGGCCACCCGCCTCCCATCTGCCCCTCAAGATGCTGAGCCCGCCCTCACCTCACCTCTACTGGCCCCTCTTCTGGAAATTTCTCCCTCAGCCCTGCGCACTTTGGGCATCGTCTGTCCGTATTTCCTCTACAACCTCAGCCGGGGAGGGAGGCCTCTGACCGGCCCCCATGCCCCCGCCTGGCGCTGCCGGGTGCCCGGGACGCAGGGAGGGAGGGTTTCTCCCGTGTGGGGCAGAGGCTGGCTCGGGAGAGGGAGGGACTTCCTGCTCCGTCTCACGTCAGCCCTCCTGCAGGCAGAGAGAAGGCTCATGTGACTTGAACCTGGGTCTGAGCACGGAGACCCAGTGCTGGGCTCGCAGTGGGCGGGGGAGTGCAGGCCTCCCCTCTGAGCGCTGGAGAGGGTCCCAGGGAAGGCTGGGCGCGGAGGGTGCCAGGGGCTTCGGGAAGCCTCGAGCTGGGCTTCCCCGCTGGTCCGGGTGGGGAAAGGCCCGATGAGCGGGAGACGGGGCTGGCACCGGCCCCTCCCAGGAGAGCCATGGGCTGACGTGACCTTCAGCAGCTGGTCCTCTGGGAGGTGACTGTGCTGAGCGGTGACGTGCTGCCCAAAACACGGGGGGGAGTCCCACCCGCGTGGGAGACAGACACACACCTGGCAGTGGTGCTTCGTGCACCCTGGACAGTGGGGACCCAGCCTCTGCCCGGCCTCCTGCTGGCATTTGCGAGACACGCCTGAGGGCAGGCTCCTTCTCCAGGAGCAGCCCCATCTCCAGCCTCAGGCCTCGGCGTGGGAGGGGCAGGAGGGGAGCAGGGAGCCCTGAGGACAAGGCCAGGAGCCACAGTGCCCAGGGCCGCTGCCTCGAGGAGGCGTGGAGCCCACCAGGAGAGCCCGGGACAAGAGCTCGGCCCGAGGGAGGCCAGCGCCCCCACAGGAGGCGAATAAGAGGAGCTCCTGGAGGCCAGCGGGCACAGGTGGGCGCAAGTGCCAGGCCAGCTCCCAAGTCAGAACAGGCTGGGCGCAAACCCTGGCTTCACACTGACGCGCTGTGACCTCAGGAGAAGCGATCGGCCCCTCTGAGCCTGAGTGCTCGCCTGGGAAGGGGGAGCGCAGACCCCCTCAGGGTCGCACGGTCACACAGGAGGCAGCGCGGCCAACGCTGTCCCCTGGTCCTTCCCACTGCATTGCTCTTCTAACTGGACAATGGCCAGGACGGGCAGCAGGAGGACAGGGAAAGGCCAGCCGCTCCGCTCCACTGCCCAGCACCCCCACTTCAGCAGGCCCCTCAGTAATTCATAACCCACTTCTCCGGGAAAGACAGAGATGGAGAGCCGCCAAGGTCCCAGAGCCACGAGTGTCCCGGCCCGCCTGGTGCCCACCGTGTGCTGGCGGCACGGTGAGCGCGAGGCCCCGCGGCTCCCATCCCACCTGTGTGCACTCTCCTGCCGCCACGGCCACGGCCTGGTTCACTCTCCTGCCGCCCACGGGAGCCTCGCTGGTCTGGAAGGAGTCCCCAGGGGCCGCTTCCCACATCCTCGGCGGCTCCTCCTCCTGCCCCAGACCCGGCTCCACAGGTCCACTACCTCCACTCCACTGTCACTCCACACCTTTTTAATTTTAATTTTTTAAATGTTTTCATTGGTTTCAGAGAGAGAAGGGAGAGGAGGTGGCGCCGGGCTAGCTCTGAGGACCTGGCGCTGCGCTCCCGGGACACAGCACCTCCCGGTGTTAAACTCCAAAGGCGGCTGGGGAAGGGGCTTGAAGTCGGGGCCTCTCTACAGCCGTCAGCACCTACACGCAGCTGAGCAGGAAACACCCAGCCCGCAGGCCCCGTGCTCCGTACACGGACCCAGGCCCTCGGCCAGACGGGCTGGGCCGGGAGACCGAGCTGCACCTGAGGCCCAGGCTGCGGGTCACGGGAGGGAGGAGAGGAGGGCGGATGTGGGGCCTGGAAGGGGCGCCCGGAGCTTCTGAGCAGGCAGAGATGAGGGGGTGACCCGGGACCGAGCTGACAGTGAGATGCGGGAGCCAGGAGGAGGGCAGGAAAGAGCCACGCCCCCGGCCCGGAGGCAGCTGTGAGCACTGGGAAGTCCCCCTCACAAGCCCAGGAGGGAGGGGTCACGGGTGATGGGGGCCCGTCCCCTCCACAGCCCCACATGCAGGAAAGCTGAGACGGCAGTTCAAAGCCAGGCTGGAGGGAAAGGGCTCTTGTGACGGAGGGTGTCAGAGTCATCAAACTCACTACTGCAGCTGATTGGTGAAAAGGCCCGCTCAATGACATCTTAAAAAATAAAATAAAATAAAAGGCCCGCTCGGTAGATGGCGCGTGAACCAGGAGTCCCTTCAGCAGAATGCAATTCTATTAACTGCCGCCCAGGAGCATGAAGGCAGCGTCACCAAGTGCATTTCCCGCTTGGCTTGCCGCGGAGATAAGGCTGCAGCCAGCCTAGGGCACGACACCACCTGCTCAGGCGG